GATATTGCTCTTTTATTGAATGGATTTACATTAAGGACTAAATACAGTAGGTCTTGGGTGGAGATGGATACCCTGGAAAAAATTTAGAGGCAAAACTCCGAACCTGAAGATACCTTAAGTAATGAGACTTTGGTAAATTATGATCTTCACATAGTAATTTAAATGATGCAAAGCCATCATCACTGAAAAGATCTTGAAAGTAGACCAAGCCACTTCTGTGCCAAACAGCAAATGCCTGGTCTATTTGAGATGGCGCAAAAAGATGATTAAACATAATTGGGGAAAAGCTACATATACTTGTCAAATTAAAATGTTTTCTGAACTGACCCCAGATCTTAATCGAGTTTTGGACCACCAAATTAGAGTTCAGTTCAGGTGTTTTGATGATTAGTGGGAGAGGGGCAGTCAAGATTGAAATCGGGGAGACTGGGAGTGTAGCTCTCAGTTTCATATCAGCCCAGACCGGACCCTCCTTGTCTGCGAACGTGGTGATCCAATATGTCAGCTTGGCAATATTAGCTGCCCAATAGTAAAATAAAAAATTAGGTAAACCCAAACCACCATCAGATTTAACTCTCTCCAGGCTTACCTTCTTTATACGTGCAGGTTTTTTATTCCATATGAACAAAGAGATAAAGCGGTCCAGCTGAGCAAAATAGGATTTGGGGAGAAAAATTGGGATCATTTGGAACAAATAAAGAAACCTGGGCTTTACAGTCATCTTCACTGCATTTATCCGTCCTGCCAGTGAGAATGGGAGTTTCGACCACCTATCTGAGTAAGTTTTGCTATGATCTAAAATAGACCTGTAGTTATGCTAAAAAATAGCCTTAATTGAACCTGCTATTTCTATTCCCAGGTAAGTGAATTTGTAATTTTCAATTTTAAAAGGGAAATTTTCATAAGTGATCTGTTTTGCCAGATTATTCAATGGAAATAATAAAGATTTTGATAAATTAACTTTATACCCTGATATGCTACTGAATTTTTGCAGCCAGTGGAGAAGGTGGGAATGCTCTCAATTGGGTCTGATATTTGCAAAAGCAGATCATCACCATAACGCAAGGTTTTATGGTCTGTTTCACCCCTAGATATACTCTTAATCCTGCAATCTGATCTAATAGCAATTGCCAGTGGTTCGATTGCAATGTCAAACAGGAAGGGCGACAGACAGCAACCCTGTCTTGTACCTCTGTGGAGCGAAAAGTATTCTGAGATCAGGCCATTTGTCCTGACTGCAGCCAAAGGTGTTGAATATAGGACTTTGATCCACCTACAGAAAGTGGGCCCCATTCCAAATTTTTCTAAGGCTGCGAAAAGATAGGTCCATTCGATTCTATCGAATGCCTTTTCAGCGTCAAGGCTTAAAATAACTTCAGGCTGTACAGTTGAATGGGGGGAAAATAACACATTAAATAATCTTCTCATGTTAAAAAATGATTGCCGTCCGGGAATGAAGCCTGTTTGTTCCTCATTAATAATTGTGGGAATTACAGGGTCTAATCATTGATTGAATTGAATTAATCATTGAGCAAGGTTTTTACCTTATCTTGTCTGACTTATTGGCCTGTATGAGCTACACTGTACAGGATCGTTATCTTTTTTTAGTAAGACTGAAATTGTGGCCTGGGTAAGCGTTTGCGGTAATTTTCCATTGGTCAAAGATTCATCATAAACGGATTTAAGGATGGGTGCGAGTTTTGAAGAGAATTCCTTGTAAAACTCTATGGGGAACCCATCCGGACCTGGCGCCCTTCCTGTCTGACATGACCTGATGGCATTCGCTATTTCCTCAAGCGACAATGGCTGCTCTAAAAGTTACTGAGCATCTGGAGAAAGCTTTGGGATATCGAGCGAATCAAGAAACGAGTGAATCTCCAAAGAGCTACCATCTACCTCAGATTGATATAGAGTAGAATAATATTGTTTAAACTGGTCATTATACTGGTCTCATAGTATACCTGTTTGGATTTAAAAATATTTTTTTCGGCTTTCCATGTCATAAGTGTATTAAATTCAATTTGCAACAGTACTTTCTCCTTAAAAACATCTGGCGTAGGTGAAAGAGCATAGCGCCTGTCAATATCTGCAATTTTGTCAGCCAGCTCTTTAAGTTGTCTGAAACTCTCCTTATCCTATGTGCCACATAAGAACTTGGCCCCTAATGTATGCTTTCATAGACTCCCACAAAATTCCCCTTGATACATCCTGAGTGTCATTGATTTCCAAAAAAAAAGTCAATCTGATTGTTGAAACATTTTCTAAAATGCTTACATAAAAGTAATTGGGTGTCTAGCCGCCAAGTTCGTTGGGGCGCTACATTGGCTGGGAAAATGAGATCCATCTGCACTGGGCTGTGATCTGACAATACTACACTGTGATATTTGCTGTTGGAAATTAAAGGTAGTAGTTGGTTATCGACAATAAAATAATCAATCCTGGAGTAACTGTGATGCACGGGGGAGAAGAAGGAGAATTGCTTCGTAATTGGACTTTTTATCCGCCAGGGGTCTGATAAACCATAAGAGCGAAGGAAGGAGTTAATAGCCACTGCGGCTGACGAGAAAGTGTTGTTTGACCTTACACTTGATCTGTCTAGCTGGGCATGCAGGACGCAGTTAAAGTCCCCACCTAGAATTAGTTTATAGGAATTAAGGTCCGGGAGAGTTGAAATAAAATTAATAAAGAATTGTGCATTGTCCCAATTTGGTCCATAAATGTTAGCCAGTATTATTGGTGTATTAAATAGCTTGCCCACTACAACAATATATCTGCTGTTAGCATCTGATATTACTTCAGAGTGTTCCAATGGAATCCCTTTCCTAACTAGAATTGCTGTTCCCCTAATACGTGAATGATATATTTGTCCAATCCACTTACAACTTAGTCTTTTTTGGTAGTAATAGCAATATTACATCAGGTTTTAATGATTTCAGATGACGAAATATTTTGCTCCGTTTGACCAAATTATTCAGCCCTTTGACGTTCCAGCTAACGAACAAAATTGTTCCTCGTTGATTGTTTACATCATCCAGAATCATCAGTGACCAGGGCTAAATGGTAAATGGAGCTACTTGTTATAGCTCCTTTCTTAGCTTCCGACCACTCAAAGCAACTTGTTACGACTACGGTTACAACACATTTTCACACAGCGCAGCTTCGTCAAAGTCCACGAACAGAAACTAACTCATTCATACACTGAATGTATGCATCAGGAGCAATTTGGGTTCAGTATCTTGCCCTCAGGATACTTCGAACACGTGCAGGAGCGAGCCAGGGATTGAACCAACAAGCCTTCCGAGGACAACCCGCCTCTGCTTCTGATCACACCGCCCCACTAGCTACCCTCAACAAAGGAGACTGCTACCCTCAAGACAGACTCCTCAGCACAGAGAGCGGTCCAGTCCAAACAGGAAGAAATACAAGAACTGCATTGGGTCTGGGCCACAACTCAATAATGTGTCTCCTCTTAAAACGAAAACCTAAAACTGAAACCATTTCTTTTTTTGTACGGTATATTTGGTAGCTTTGGCCTATTTGCTGGGGGTTGAGTTTGAGTTGAGGGGCCTCTGGCCTCCTCATTTGAATATAAATTAAATATAAGTGGATTACAGATGATACATAATAAATATATTAAAACGTATATATCATTAATTCATTAATAATGATAATAAGTATTATTTAATTGACTATATTTACCATAATGTTATGTGGTAAGTTAAGATAAATAAAGTGCAGAACAAGGAACTATATTTCTTCCAGCTTACTTATTTGGTGTATTGGGTATAGGGTATCATATTGTAGTAATATATATACCATGCGCAATACTATCATGGTACAGTATGGAGATATATATATATTATATGTACATGATAGTTATTGGCATTATAATTATCTTATAATATATACTTTTTTCACTCTCCTTTTGCCCTTTAATTATGTTATTCCTCTTCTCCATACCCCCACAGACACTGAGGCCCATACTGTTATGTCCACCCTGTAATTGTTTACAATGTTTTGTCTTGCTGTATGTTGCTTGTATGTGTATTCAGTTTAATGTCGCGCAGTAATCACCTGTCACCAATGTATCATGTATGTCTCCAATAAAAATAAATGAATTTTAAAAATCATCTCACATCTGCACACAGGTAAAGGAAGCACAGAAATGAATGCTTTTTGCAATTGAATGTTTTTAATTAATTACAAGCTTAAAACCAAGACCACAGCTTGTTTTTTTGACAATAAAAAAGTGCATATTGACAATAAATAAAAATATACAAAATGCATTAAAAAAAAAAATCCCAAACCCTTCCTCTTCTTGGGCACAATAACACACATGGGATATTCACTGATATTATTCTGTTGGTTAACATTTTTCTGAAAAATGCATTCCAAGACAATTCTTTTAAAATATATTTTAGTGAATTAGCTGCAGAGTGCCTATTGTTTAAACTAATATCACTAGCCCCATCAATTCTGGCAGCTTATAAATCTAGATAAACAAAGTTTTTTTAAGGTTAGGGGACACATAGCCATGCATTGTCTCACTAGAGCTCACTGGAGGCTGGAAGAAATCACTGGAAGTCACAGGGGTGTGTGCCCCTGAAAGAGGGTGAGAGACCCACACAAGTTCATCATAGTTTATAATAATGCATTGCAATAAGGATACAGACATTTCATAAAAGAGACAAGCGTATAACACAGATCTGTATGTATTTGTCACTGAGAACAGACTCTGCAAAACCATACACTTCACTGATAAACCACAGAATTGTGGAGTACCATAATGCTTCATGAGCCCATGGCGCGCGCACACACACACACACACAGTCAGACGCACGCACACACACACACACACACGAAAGCTCTCAGCCATGGGCACATAACACACCGACCGACCTCCCTCCCTCTGGGTACAAGGAGGATAGGCAACACAGGTCCTGCATGGGCCTGCTGGAGTTTTCTGGAGTTACAAATAAAGCTCACGAGACAAAGCTCAGTGACATACAGACATATTGATATTTTTATTGAATGGGTAAGGAACAGACTTGTTTATCTAATTGTCAGACTAAACAGTTTAAATAAAACACAAAGCAGAAATGCTAAAGGATAAGTCAAGTGTCTTTTTGTTAGTAAATCCAATGAAAAGTCCCAAACCAATGTGTTTGTGAGCCTTAATATTGACTGTGAATTTTAAACATGTATTTACCTGGAAATTATCACAACTGAGAGTGAAATAACTATCACCATGATAACTCTCCAGAATTGTAAAACCCTTTCTCATAGTCTTATAAGCAGCTGTGCAGTGTTTTGGTCTCTGATAAGCCTTAGATTTGTCACACAAACCAATGTTTTTGCATTTGAAAGCAATTCAGCCCCTTGAATATTTGCAGAGCTGTTTTTGGTATAAATGTCTCATCATTGATGTTTTTAATAGTTTTGGGACACCAATTCAGCTTGAAGTATTATGATATAGTATATATGATATATGATATAGCTTTGAATAAACTGACAAAACTTTCATTTCTGTTTTTCTTGGTATTTGATTACAAAAAGAAAATTATAGAATATCATCCACCTTATCATTTATAATTAAAGACTAATCAATTGCTGGGTACAGTGAAACAATGTATCCGTTAGTTTGCATTACTGACTGTGATCACACTTTCTCACAGCACAAGTATCCACACCTTATAAATTCAGGATTTGTCTTAAAGCATTGGTTTTAAATCATATCTGTTTTTGACATCAGACTTCAGTGGGAAGAGGCACTTTGATGTTGGCTGGAGATAGGAGCTGTGTCAAGTCACAGTAGTACCCAGTGTTTAAGGAGTTTCAAGGGCCTGATTGTTGGGTTACCCAGAGGGCACGTCCCCACTAGGGTCACTCTCATCACAGCCCTGCACTGTGCCAACATCCTGTAGTCCAACCAATGACATGTCTGATTGAATGTCTTCCTCGTCTGACTGCACCAAAGGCTCATCACTCTCCTCACTGGCCGCTTCCTCTACTTGCTCCCATACTGCATCCTGGTTGGACAGTTGGTTGATTGTGGGAGGGGTTTGGGTCACTTGGGTCATTTGGCTTCTCAAAGATTCAGAGGAGCAGGACTCAAGGTCTGGACCTGTTACAAAAGACAACACTTAATTCACTGAGTAACTAAAGCTTAATTTGCTGTGGACTAGTATTATCTGTAGACCTAATTTGATTTGGGAGTTTCCCTGTCACATCTGATTTTTGAATAGTGGGTTCACACAAGAGATAGATCAGGTCACGTTTTTTTGGCCCACTGCTGTACAATTCAGCGGGTGTTTTTCATTGCAGTAGTTGATCCTCCCATAATTTATGTCCCAGCCGGAGAAAAGATTTGTATATTAAAAGTTACTGAGGAAAAAGCCAGTGACGAAATAGCACAAATTAGCCATAACAACTTCATAAGCCAGCAAAATGGTGATGGACGTGTATCATTCAGGTTCTTTTGGTGTTTTTCTGCCAAAAAATGAATGATACAGTTTTACTGACCACTGCAGAGCAGGAATACTAAACAAGAGCTACAGTTTTGGAGATGCTCTGACCCAGCCGTCTAGCAACAACAATTTGGCCCCTGTCAAAGGTGGTGCCATGGTAACCAGATAATATGTGTGATTCACTTCACCTGTCAGTGGTCATAATGTTATGGCTGATGTATGTATGTCTCGAATTATCTTCAGGTTGTAGAGAAACTGATTTGGAGTTACCAGAGGTCAGCGATGATCCGGTACTGATGTCATCACCAGTGGAGTTGAGGAAGTCATCCAAAGCCTCCTGGTCTGATATGTTAGTTACAGTCATCTCATCCAGGGCACACACATCAGCTCCTGTTGGCTCTACAAACACACACACAATATTACATGCAATTTACACATTATATTTAAATACTCAACCTACACTGAAGGAATCCTAATCGGAAGAAGCTGACTGCAATGATGACAATGGCAGTAAAGACAACAACTCCCGTGATCACAAGTGTTTTGTTATTGTTCTGATGTAGGAGACTAGTTATTCTGATAAATACCTTTACACTATATTTACTTGCTTTGTCAAAGTAACTCTACTCTAAACACCTCTGACACAGGCCTGCTGTTCTCAAGTCGGGAGATTTTTTTTGATAAGCTGCAGCATTTTGTGGATGAATGCAGATGCATTTTCAAACATTAGTGTGAAAATGGTCAGCATATCCCTGTAACTTTACCTTGCCTTAAAAATCTGTATTTCTACTAATGATTTTATTGGCTAATAATTACAGTAAGTAAAACATTGTTGCTATAAATAATAGTGACTTGCCTCTGTGCTGCAGGTATCCAGTGGACAGGTATTGCTTCATGTCTTGGTTAAAGGCTTCTTCATACACTTTTTGTCGTTCTTTCAGTTTCTGCTGCATGCCCTGCTCCAGCTCTGCCAGCTTCTGAGCATGCTGAGAATTCAGTTCCACTACAAACAGAAGACACATCATTTTTAGAACGTCCTCTAATATCCATAATAAGGATGGGGCAACATATTAATCCTATGATGATTTCCTAAATTTATTTTGAATTCCTGGGGGGAGCCAGCATCTTTCCCGTCATTCCAAAATCCGAAGCCTGTCACCATGGCTGAAGGCTTGGCTTGTCCATTGTATCCCCACAAAAAAAGTTACACCAGATGTGTGGAAATATGACAGTACAGCAGCTCACCTTCCAGTACGTCCAACTCCCTCCTGTTACAAGATAAACATGAGACAAGTTCCCATGAAAACAAAAACATCATCAGACAAGTTAGCTTTATGTCAATCTATTACTCTGACTAAACAACAACAAACAGTATCAAGAAAACTGGGTCCAGTCGAATAGTCTTTTTCATGCTTTTTTAGTAGGAAGATTCCTAATGGAGTGAAAGGACCCAAAACTATTTGAGTGACAGCCATGATACGAGCTGTTCCAATTCTCTAAACACTAAGGAAAGGAGCTTCAGTGTTTCCTTTACTATCTCATTTAGCATAGGATACTCTGAACCATAATTTAGATATCAAAGGAAATAATGCCAATCCACAATTCCTTGCAACAGGAGCATTTAAAAAGCAGCCTGCTTACGAATATGATCAAAATTACCAAGAAAGGACACACTTCAACTTCTAAGTTACCGATGTTTTTATCTTATGCCATAACTTGTTAATATGCTATGTTTTGAACTTTGAACATATAATATAATACCTTGGCTGCACATAATAAACCTATTATAGGTGAATGCTACTTGTTATGTAATGTATAAAGATTATTATATTAAAATGATCCAAGTGAAGTTTATAAGTCATAGCATAACGTAGCATTAGCATTAGTTATTCCTCATTTTGGGCTTTGCTGTATTGCCAGCCTTTAGGAATATCATTTAAATATTTGAATTGTTCTTCACTCCCAGATGTTGAAACTTAGGAATGATCAGAGTCAGAATGAGTTTTCACATCAAGGGTGCCTGGGTATATTGGTACATAACAATAAGCATAGGACAAGGAACAGTTTGTGCAGGACTGTGCCAAAGTTCACAGTATTAAGTATGAAGAATATTTGCAATGTGCAGTAGAAGAAATGTACAGTTGTAGATTTGTAGCCCTATTAAACACATTATAACTGATGTACATCACCTACACGAAACAACGTGGTAAGAGTGCAAAGTATCTAAAATGCACTTTTTGTAGTCTTATCTTCAGATTGTTTCACTACAGCTGACACACATCATCAACATCCACCGTCGCATAATTACGTAGATAAAGTGCAGTTGGATTCTCTCAGTACCGCGGTTTCGTTTCTTAATTCCTTTCTCTTTCACATCTTTCCTTGACCACATGACGTTTTCCCTCGAGGTCAAGGAAAAGTGTTTAGGAAAGGACATAGGATCTTTTTTTGACAATTCGACTGGACCCACTTACTGATGATGACATAACATCAAAATATACAAAATACAAAATAAGACACACCATGAGGCTGTAAACAAAGCGGAGAGGCTCCAAGTTGAATTTGGCATATTCATATTTGTATACCTAATTGTTGGAATTAGGAGAAATCCTCCCTTCACAAGCGTCCATGTCTCAAACTCAATCTTCCTGCAGGTTTTGATGGGGGTTTGATTTTGCTTTCTGACCAGCATAAGAGCAGTTCTCTTATGCTGCAGTTCTCTTTATTGAGTTTTCTTTGGGTGAGGTTTGAGTGCGTGTGGCCAGAATAGAATTTTTGACATGACAATTAGCTGACATACAGGAAACACAAGAAAGGACTTGTGGAAAATTGCAACAGCAAAAGTTTTTTCTGACATTCAGTGAATTCAGGTGGTAATTGGGGAAACAAAATTACATACATGATTAGTACAGTTTTGTCTGAAGTTTCGAAGGCAGCTCACATTCAAAAATTATTGCTCGAAAAGAGAAAAAAATCTGCCTCATAAGACACCTGTGAGTAAGTGATCTGATACCTCTTCTTTTTCTTATAGACTTCAAGTTCGTTGATATGATGTTGTTTGAATGTCTGTTGTTCACACTGACAACACAGAGTCTCCAGGTATACCAGTCTGCTCTCCATCTCCTCAAAGTCACCTTCCAAATGTGCTGGAGACAAATACAAACACACACAGAGTTTTTTAAATTCAAATTGATAAACATGTGCAGCAGTAGCTGAACACAAATACAACACAGTTGTCATTGTTTACACAGGACTCAAAACTCTTCATCCTACATTTATACACAATTATACAGTGATGTAGAGCATCTTTGACACTGCGGTAGGAGTCCGAACTTCCAACTTTCTGATTAGCGGACGACCCTCTCTGTATGATTCAACATCAACCAGTGATTCATAAAGGTTTGCCCTCCACCAGTATGGAATACTGAATAAAAAAACTTTGACTAACAATAAGCAGCTAAGTTACCTTGCTCGTAACAAGACACAAAAACTTGAGCTGGAGCTGAGCTGCTGAAACATGGCAGCTCCCACAAGCCCAGGCTGTGCAGACTGGTCTACTCATCAGGTTGGCAGCAATGGCCATTATGACAAAAATAATGCATTATTTGAACATTAAAGCATGTAAACCTGTTAAAAGTAGAACCCCCAAATATGAAAAGATGACAACCTTCTAAAGGAAAAGTATTTAATGTCAGGTATGAACTTCTCTAGTTCTTTATTTTCATGTGAACAACTGAGGGCACTACTAAGAGGGTTTTACAGGAAAGAATGAAAGTGAAAGTGTGCAATATTATGCCCATATAAATGATATATCTCTCCTGCTGCTAATGTCCAGCTGTTTGAAAAAAACAAAACAGTTTGGATTTCCAACCAAAATGTCTAGAATTAAATGAAAATGACATCCAATAAAACTGCTACTATGAAAATGATGAAATAACATTTCATAATATTGAATTGAGTTTCAATTATTTCTTCAATAATCAGTGAACATTTTTTGGACAGGAATGAAACAGACTCCATACCTATGTTAGCTGTGATAGCATCAAGTTCACTGATGAAGGCCGGCAAGCTCTGCAGCTGTTCCTGGAGTTGTGTCAAAGCTGTTCTTCTTCTCTCCCAGTGTGCTGAGAGCATCACTATGTCCCCATCTACTGCCTGACAGACACAGAGGGGCAGATTTAGGACAGCTGTAGTAAATATAGCAACAAAGCAATCACTATTAAGTCATTTGCTATCACATTTAAAGCATTATAATATCACAACGTATCCTGTCAGCGTTCAAGTTACTGACGTTTGCAAACGCGAACTCCTCTGTGTGTGTGAAAGTCTGCTAAAAGATACAGACACTTTCCTCATAAGTAGGGCAGAATGTAAAAGCAGTAGCCACAGTCAGCTGATCAAGTGTTGCACATGACTGAAGCTTACTACACTGCTTTACAAAGCCAAACCACAGTAACTACAATTTTGGTCAAAATTGAGTTATGACTAAAATAAGTTCGGTCTTCCTCTATCTTTGAGAAAAAATTATGTAAAAATTGCAATAACTAAAATGTCCAACGATAAATTGCCTGAAAAATCTGTATCTTTCTCTGAACCTTGGCTGCAGTTACTGTGGTCGGTGACAACTGTTTATGAATGAAACGAATCTTGTCTTTTGTGTATTTATGTTAGGCCTGTGTAGTTGTGTTGTCTTTTCTGTGATGTTGCAAATTAAGCTGCTGTGATGCCAAAACAATTTCAGACTGGATCTGACAAGTCGGAAGCGATAAAGCTGTGTTTTTGTGCAGCAATCAGTGAGGCCCAACCAGAAACACTCCGCTACGGTGGAAAACCATGCTGTTGCTAGCTAGCTAACTAATGAATCTTAGACCTTTGTCACTAAAAGTTAAAGATTTATGGGTAGATATGATTATATTATCGGCTGAAATTGGTTGATTCGTGTTTATGTAAGAATGCCTCACATTTTAGTATAGCTACATTGTTAAATATGGGTGCAATATGACGTGTTAAAATTGTTCTTTTTTTCTTGAATTTACTGGTATCTAAAGAAGTGGTGTGGTTGCAACTCTAACAGAGCAGAACAGAGAAATACTGATCTTACCTC